CGTCTGTCTGTCTGGGCATTCCGTCTGTCTATCTGGGCATTCTGTCTATCTGGGCATTCCGTCTGTCTGTCTGGGCATTCCGTCTGTCTGTCTGGGCATTCCGTCTGTCTGTCTGGGCATTCCGTCTGTCTGTCTGGGCATTCCGTCTGTCTGTCTGGGCATTCCGTCTGTCTGTCTGGGCATTCCGTCTGTCTGTCTGGGCATTCCGTCTGTCTGTCTGGGCATTCCGTCTGTCTGTCTGGGCATTCCGTCTGTCTGTCTGGGCATTCCGTCTGTCTGTCTGGGCATTCCGTCTGTCTGTCTGGACATTCCGTCTGTCTGTCTGGACATTCCGTCTGTCTGTCTGTCTGGACATTCTGTCTGTCTGTCTGGACATTCCGTCTGTCTGGCTAGACATTCTGTCTGTCTGGCTAGACATTCTGTCTGTCTGGACATTCCGTCTGTCTTTCTGGACATTCTGTCTGTCTGGCTGGACATTCCATCTGTCTGGCTTGACATTCTGTCTGTCTGGCTGGACATTCTGTCTGTCTGGCTTGACATTCTGTCTGGCTGGACATTCTGTCTGTCTGGCTGGACATTCTGTCTGTCTTTCTGGACATTCTGTCTGGACAGTAGGGTTGGGCGATATTGGCAAAAAAATGAATCACGATTAATTGTGGTATTTAGCCGATAACGATCTATTTGACAATTAATCCCCTGGAGTCCCTGGACATCCTTATGTCCTAGTCACATGACCAATTTAGTGGGGAAATTTTGCTCCTCAAAAAAATCTGTTCCAAATTGTCAAAATTACAGACTTCGAGCTATACATCAAATTTTTAATTATGTTGATAAATAAATTTCAGAATTTATTATTATTTTTTATGTTCGTCATATTTGAAGCGGAGAGGAGCACCAAGCGGACTGACCTGGGAAATCTCCAGTCAGTCCGCCTAGTGGCATTAATCGTATTAATCGTCAAGTGCCAAAAAATAATCGATTAATGTTTTTCTGACGATTAATTGCACACGATATGATTATACACAACCCTACTCCAAACGCAGTGGTTTTTCTGGTGTTAATGGCAACCTACGTATGTGACAGTGAACTTGACGTCTGGCTGATGCCAGTCACTGAGACAGAATTCAGGATGACTCAAATGTGTGGTAAAAAGTCCAGTAGCTATATCTGGACAGCAGTGACACTTGTTGGGTTTTATAATGCTTGATGCACAATATAACAAAGCTTTCTTGTCTGTCATGCGTGGCCAGAAGCTTCAGTGTCTGCGGATGCCTCGTACCCATTGGTTCTACCATCTGACCAGTGTGACATCTCTACGCACCACCTGCCATGCAGTTGCACAATTCAACCACCTATGACACAGCAACCTGTTTGGTGCTGGTGATGCTAGCAAATGCATCATTGACATTCACTATTTGTTTTGACTGACTGTCAGATTATCTGGCTACTAGGGTTGGGCAATATTGGCAAAAAGTTAATCACGTTTAATTGTTGTATTTAGCTGATAACGATTAATTTGAGATTAGTCACCTGGAGTCCCTGGACACCCTTATGTTCTAGTCACATGACCGATTTAGTGGGAAAGATTTGCTCTTCATAAAAAATTTTTCCGAATTGTGTCAAATTTACAGACTTCAGGTTTTACATCAAATTTTAAATTGTGTTGATAAACAAATTACTGAACTTTTTTTAAATGTTCATCATATTTGAAGCGGAGAGGAGCACCAAGCGGACTCTGCCTGGTGGCTTTAATCGTATTAATCGTCAAGTGCCAAAAAATAATCGATTAGTGTTTGTATGACGATTAATTGCACACGATACGATTAAGCCGAACCCTACTGGCTACACTACTGTTTTGCATGTGAGGCCATTATTTCAGCCTCTGGTGCCTGTTCTAAACATCTAGTTGCAAATCAAATTATTTACATACCCATTACTTGTCGACATGTGAACCAAGTTACAGATAATTCCTTTAGATTGATTAATGTTTTTGTTAGGAACCATAGGTTGCTCCTGGTCCTCCACACTTAATTTTACCAAAAGTGACTGGTGTCAGAGCTTATATCAATATCCCCAGTATCTACAAAATGATCATTCCTAAAGCTGGAACTACTTACATCAGGGTTTATTGAGAAGACCCTTCGTAATGCTCGTACAAAGACAACAATCCTGTTTACAGACATTACTCATGTAAGCAAGGTTAATTATTAAAGGTGCAGACCAAGTCTCAAAAAACACCAAAGTGGATACCTCCTTCCCAGCATTATGTTGATGAGAAAGAGGTCTAATTTTATCAACAAGTTGCTAAGTTTTGTGCTGAGTAGGTAGTCAGGGGAAGGGGGAGGAGGTTATGGAGTTGAAACAGCTGCCTCCTGTTGCTGGAAGAAAAAGCTGACAAAAAACCTAAACACAAAAAATAGTACTGTCAAATTTATTGAACTGTGAGGAAATTCAGAGTCCAGAGGTAATTTGAAGATTTGTCACAACTAATTTGCTTCACTGTGCAAGATGTAGTTTGTGACATTTCATTAGGAAAAACTGTAAACATTAACTTTAATGGGAGAAAAAGCCTCTAAAAAGAAGTATTGCTTGGAGGTGTTGAACTAATGTCAGTAAAATAAGAAAATAATGTTGCATTAGTAAACTAAAGGTGTAATTAGTATAAAAAACTGCTTGAGTGTAATTTGAAATAAGTCACCCTTTATGTCTGTTTTGCATACACTGTGCATTTATTGGCAAAAGTTTCTCGATTTAGTTTCTGAGAGGTATTTTTTTGTTGCCTGTTTATTTTTGAGGAAAGAAAAGTATCATCTTTGTGGTGTGAGTATAGTGATTTTTTTTTTTTGTGCTGGAGGCTCCATTTTACCTCTTCTGTTGGGGAAAAAAATGAAGTACCGCTGTAAATAATTGCTGGTCTGGAAGCCACAATGGCTGATAAATCACATAGTAACCATATTTCTTGTGCACAGTCAGTCTTGTCTTGTCTGCTTTTGACTCAAAAATAAGACACAACAGTTTTATTTATTTTGTTTCTTTTAATTACAGCTGGCCTGGCTTTTATTTTTGTCAGACATGAAAACTGATGGAGTAAATTGCAGTTTATTCTATGGGCTCTGCTCCTGCGGTGGTTTAATTGACACCTTCTTCTTCTTTTTTTTTAAGTGAGCTGAATTTATCTGTCCATTTACTCCAAGTAATTGGACCATTACAGAGCTTTTGTGTGCTCCTGGCAGCATGCAGTCACACTGGGGAAAAAAATAAAATAAAAAAGTAAAGAAGACTTGGATACATGTGAGGAAATGATGTAAGGGAAAATATGGTAAAATGGAAGATGGAGAGCAGCTCCACTCCACACTGCTTTCTGTGCTAGGAACAAAAAAATGAACTGACTTACACAAATCAAAGCTTTGTCTGTTTTGTGTTCCTCCTAATGTTTTTTTCTTTGTGTGTGTGTGTGTGTGTGTGTGTGTGTTTGGACACAGGACGTCTAACAGCAGTGTGACCCTGTCCTCGTGTGTGTCGATGGAGCCATGCGCGTGTCCAGAAGAGTCCATGTTCACTGCTTTGTCCCATGCTGATGTTACCTTCCGCAAGATGGAGGGCTACCTGAGGAACAGACAGCTGTGTGACGTCATACTGGTAGCTGGAGACAGAAGGATACCTGCACACAGGTAAGAGGAAAGAAATGCTGAAATGTTAGATTATTAAGGTTATTATCAAAGATTAGCAGAATTTTTTTAAATCCGATATGTGTAAACGATGTGAAAAATCACAGCATTTCTTATTTTCTACTATTTTCACAACAGAAAAACCTGGAACAAACATCGCAACATCCAATTATCTTCATGCAGACATGAAGACACAAACCTCCTCCTGAGATACTGAAAGAGACGCACACACAGCCCTGTTCACAAGAAGTTCCTTTTCTGTTATCGTATTTCTGTGCTAAATTTAATATTGTCAGCAGAGTTTCTGAGTCATTCATCAGTCACTGGACACACACTATCTTAGACACACACACACACTCGTGCCTGCTATCCACCTTGTAGTTCCCCCGGCCCTGCTTCGTGGCTGCTGGTGTATCAGCAGGGGCCAAGTGCACACGGACAGAGACACAAAAAATAGTTCTTTGCCAGCAGAGAAAAGCTTTTTTTTTCTCTTTGTTTCATTTGATTATATCGTAGCACACAAATGGTGAAAACATATAACTTGCTTTACAAGACTCCTAATAGTGTTTACAAAAGAGTATGTCGGTTTGTTTATATATTGAGCAAGGATGTAGGAGTAAGACATTTTTAAAGTGATTTTTTTAGCTGTTTATTTATTGTATGTGTATGGTAAAAACAATTTAAAAGCAAAGCACAAGTCTTTCTATTACATCTATTCCTTTTTAATAATAGTCACAACGCTGAAAACCTTCGCCAGGCTTCCCACATGTGAACAGCTCAGAAAGTTCAGCCTGAGGCCAGACAATGCAGCGCTTTGAGAATTTTGCAAAAGCAGCACGAGAGCTGAATCTCTGACTCTTCAGGCTTTAGTTAGGACGTTAAAAATTTATGACACCGTAATTAGAAAGTAAAGACTTGTTAGGAAGTGTTGCGTGGTGAGAGTTTCTTTTCTGTTAAAGACAAAAAAAAAATGCACCATGACACCATGAGTTAGATTTGCAATATTCTTTTAACAGATAATACCAGAGCGGAGATGTTTGGCTGTAATGCGCAGTGCAGAGTGCTGTCAGGCATGGTGGTGGAGAGTTGATGATTTGATCCTGTCGAATCAACCATGAACTCCTCTCTGTATTAAACTATTCTGGAGTTAAGTGTAAAGATCTGTTTCCCCCAACTAGACAGTCATTTCAAGTATACTACAAAACAGAAAGACTGAAATAAAAATAACAATTATGGATTGGAAAAGCTGAGTTGAAATTCAGACCTCAACTTGACAGAAATGCGTAGAATTGTGCAAAAGAAAAAATGTCCACAAAGCTCGATATGCCCCTTTTCCCAAACATACCAATACATCATTTAAATATTTCTGTATATTCTTTATTGACAGCTCTTTAAAGGTTTTGTACAAGACTAAGTATTTGCAGCCATGTTAGCCCAGTTCAGGTCTGCTATCCTCTGTGTTAAAGTTAGTTTTGCCAGATTAAAAACTCGAATGATGAGGTCTATGTGGTTGTTTTTTCAAATTTGCACTTTTAACTTTTTACCTTTGTTAAAGCCTTTGTTAAATGCTTTCAAGATGTATTTAAATTAAAAAAACTCTATTTTACTTTAACACATTTTAGTAGATTATATTTTATTAAAGTGGTAGAAGAAAGTTAATGCACTGCTGTCCACACAGATGTTGTCCCACTCGCAGGGCCACAGTTACTGCAGGCCAACAGCTAAAGGGCCAAACATATAGCAATTACAATCATTATATGAATAAACCAAGTATTATAAAGATCTGTTACCTTTTGAAACTGTTTATTTAATTTTTATTTAATCATAAATACAACATACAGAGCCCTATGTAATAAAAGTAGTGATAGTAAAACAACAGCAAAACTAAAAATAACACATTATGCCTCCTATTTAACACAAATATAATTTTGGCATCTCTGATTTTTCTAAAAATTTAAAACAATTTTATTTTCACTTTCATTGTTTTATCTTCAACTACTTGTAGTAACTTGTTTTTTACCAGCTTCTTGTCAAGATCCTGACGTTTCTGTAGATACCAAACATGTCTTTGTCTGACTAAAATAACTTAGAGTAATTAAAGTCGAAAACCAGATGTTTGGGCTTAGGAGATGAATGAACCAATTGACGGGCCGAACTTTGGTAATTCGCGGGCCGGATGTGGCCCGTGGGCCAACAGTTGTATAGCCTTGTCCTATGGAAATATGATTATCTATTTATACTGTAAAAGTTACTGAAAGATTAAGAGTATGGTATGGCAAAAACTTACCAAAGATATTAAATGGTTGTTGCAACACTTCAGTCTGGATTAAGAGGACAAACTAACTGAAAATCACTCACGTGTTGCGTTAACTTGAGTCACACCGGCCATCATGACTAGCATCTGCTCCTTCGTTCCTTCTTTTATATTCCTACATACTTCAGTACGTGTAGAGAAAAGTCACACGGTCTGGGGAAGTCCCTCGTGACCTCAGCGTTGTTTTTATTGCTTCTCTGTGTTTGAGTGTAGATGTGCAGTTTGTTCCAGAGAGACAGTGGTGGGAGAAAACAGACGCAGGTGTTCAGTTCTTGCCCTCCTTTTCCTGGCTTGAGCTCATCTGTTTCCTGCACTCCTCGCTCAGGCGTTTTGTCTCTTCTCTGCTCTCTCTCTGTCAGAGTTCACCGCACCGCTGTCTGTTTCTTCAGCACAGTGCGCTCGTATTTGTGTGCAAATAACCCCTGTGCTGGATACAGACTCTGTCGCTCATAGTGAGTCAGAGACCCACATAAAAGATTAAGTGTGTGTGTGTGTGCTGGGGCGGATGGAAGATGGGAAAAGAGGCACCTGACTGGAATTCTAGCAGAACAACTTCCTGCTGACTAGAGTGTATTCTGACATCTTTCTCAGCATAATTCACACACACCTGGACCACACACACACACACACGCACACTGGTACACATCTCGTTTCTGCCTCAGGCTATCTGTCAAGGTCTCAGTGTCACATTCAGTAATGAGATTATACTCGTGGGTAAAGATAAACACACTTAGTGCATGCACACGTTCAGCACTCCGTGAAGTCTAAAACACACAAGGACACACACCTGTCGAGACACAAAAAGACCCTTTAATATAGGAACAGTCACCTGTGAGTCAGTCTGAAAACAATGATTGTTTTTATTAGAAGCTTATTTTTTCAATCACGACAAAAGTTCAAGGTAGTGTCTTTAAATCAGTAGCTGATTGACCCCAAAAAAGCACAAAGACTTCTCAAAGGATTTGTGCTGTAAAATTACCTGTCATACGACGTTAGTGTCCCGCAGGACTTTTCTCATAACACGCCCTTTACCCTTATTTACAGTTCAGGCTGTCTGCTTTTGAAGATGATCATTTCCTCTGACCTGCAGTCATTTAACGTGTGAATCACTTGCCTTTCTTTTAAATTAGTTAGTCGATCTTTACAAGATGGTGGGCAAGGCTAAAGTTGGACAAAAATCTCTGTTTTCCCTGAATTTTGCCACAATGACCAACCCCTTTATTATCTATAGTGACTCTTAAACGACATAGAAGGATTTTCTTCCTTTAGACCTGTGTACAGGATTGTCTCGGCTAAATTAACAAAGTTATATTGGAGAAAATGATTTTTAGTAACTTTTTCAGAAATGTACTGGACGTAAAAGGAGCTTTCAGTGCATAGATGACCGTTATTTAGTTGAAGGAATCTGCTGGCTTTAATGCTACTTGTGTAGTTATGTTCTGACCTGTTCACAAGCTGATCATTTTCTGCCTCGTCTGTTTGTCTCCTCGTCTTCAGGTTGCCCTTTCCCTCTCTGTTCTGCTGCCTTTTCTCTTTTATGCTTTGTTCATCCTGTCAGCAAGGTCAGAGTAGTCTGTTCCTCCATTATAGCTGTCCATCCTCTCTGACTGATGCCAATTTTTTTTCCTCCTCTCTCTCTCTCTCTCTCTCTCTCTCCCTCTCGCTCACAGACTGGTCCTCTCGTCTGTGTCAGACTACTTTGCAGCCATGTTTACTAGTGATGTGCGTGAGGCCAAGCAGGACGAGGTGAAGATGGAAGGCGTAGACCCTGAGGCGTTGTGGGTCCTGGTTCAGTATGCTTACACAGGTGCGGTGATTTTTAACATGACGGGCATCACTCCATGATTTTATTTACCATTTCTGAAAAATGAACGGATATAAGCCTGCAGTTCAAGCAGGTGGAACATTTTCGATTACCTGAAGATGGGTTTAGTTTTATAAACTTGCTGTTTGATCAGAGGGAAAAAAATGCACAAATAACCTGAAACAGGCATTTCTACTGGATATAAGAGGACACTTAACCTCTTAAGCCCCAAGGGGTTTTCTAGAAGTTTTTTCTCAAAATACCACGCTGAAAGGTAACTGAGTGTTTGTCAGCATTTATAAACTCCACTTAAATAATCTTGGTATCAAAATAAAGCGAACACTCGGGAGATTTCATCAGAAGTGAAAGTATTAAAACAGCTGCTGTGGTTTTAGAGATATTGGGGATGGAACATAATTTTTAATTTATTTATTTATTTTTACTTTCATTAGACAGTATATAACCTATTTAAAACCATAATGATTCAGGCTAAAAACTCTTGGAAACCATGAATCCACTTGTGGACATTACCTGTGTAAAGATTCATGCTGCTAAAGTTAACTGGAGCAAAGTCACAGAGGTTTTAGTAAAGAAGTAATTTAGCATTTTGTCATTCTGCACAGGACAGACCATGATGGTACCATTAATAAATGTTAAGAAATCTGAAGTTTTTAATTGCAAAAGTTGTTTATTTTTTTCCTACCTGCCTTAAAAGACTTGTTATTGAATGTTCTTTTGAAAAAATATCCAAACATTTATTTGTCACCATATATATGATATACAATAATGAGAAATTATATTTAACTTCGGTTGGATCATATTCACTCGAAATCAAGTGAAAAAAAAAACGTTCAACACACTTTATAACATATTTAGGTATCTACTTTGACTTGCTTTAAAAAAATAACGACAAAACCTTTTCCTTTATAGGTTTGTTGTAATGTCTTTACAGATTTGCAATGATCCCATTTTGTACAGTTTGTTTACTTTCTGATTCAACTGCTTAACATTTGAACTGTGTTTGACAGATCATAAGTTAAGAGAAGTTAGAAATAAAAAAAAAATGTAAAAAGCTTTTCGGCCCTGGTACCGGGGTCATGGGGCTCAAGAGGTTTCTTCTACCTGTGTTTATTTACAATAAAACAGAAAGAAGATTCTGAATGAAGCAGAATGTACAACATAAAATTGGCATAGATATCCTGCTTTCTAAATAAATTCTGCTCTTTCTCTAATAGACCTGCTTGCAGTTTCTTGCTCTATAAACAGCCATGGCAGTCACAATAATCCCACTGGTGATGTAGATCACTGAAAACAGCCCAAGGTGGTGTTGTGTGTAATTATATAATTTCTTGTAATTGACTCTTCCTCCTCTTCTGTTGGCGCTGCTCAGGCCGTCTCGAGCTAAAGGAGGACACCATTGAGTCTCTGCTATCCGCCTCCTGCCTGCTGCAGTTGTCCGCTGTGGTCCAAGCCTGCTGCTCCTTCCTGGTGAAGCAGCTCCACCCCTCCAACTGTTTAGGCATCCGCTCCTACGCCGACGCTCAGGGATGCTACGACCTGCAGAGGGCCGCTCACGCCTACACCATGGTGTGTAAACAAGGGCCACTTCAAACGCTCTGTAAACACCCGCTGCCTCTGATGTCGTCTCGGGAAATTCAAGCAAAGCCTTTGAAAAATAAAATGTGCTTTTGACAATGATAACGCAGACAACACTTAATGGTAGCAGCTAACAGATATCTTTCTCCCGCTCCCTTTTGCGTCGGCTCTGACTTCCCCGCGAACGTTTGTTCAGTCCTGATCGGCTTCCTTTAACAAATAAGCTTCTTATTCACAGCGCATCACACGCCATTACAGCCACAATAGATGTTTTTCAGCACAGAGTTGCTATGGTGACGATTTAAAAAAAGCGCTCTCGTTGTCTTGATTATTTTCCCCCTTTTCTAATTCATTCCAGTCTTTTAAATGCCTCATTTGCATTTAAAGTCATTTCTGTGCCCATCTGTGTTGATAGCATTGTTCCTTCTGTTACTCTTCCTCTAAGTGGATTTTTGTTTGGCTTTAATCAGAGCTAATTAGACTGTGAAGGTGGTTTTATTTTCTTCTTATTGTCTTTATCTTGCCTATAAAAACAATTCTCATCCAAACTTTTTTTTACAATCTTTTTTTTGTGATTAAAAAAAAACATTTTAAAAAGGAACGTCTTTATCATGTTCTAATTTCCTTCAATTATTTTTAAATCCTTATCCAAACCTTAACGCATATCTTACTTCTTAATTTTATTTCTCCTACTTCTTTTTTTTTTTTACTACTGTGCTTTAGTCAGTCTGTCAATCTTTGACACTCTACTGAACCATTTCATCACTCAGTTTCTCCCAAACCTGCTTTATTTCCCCCCACAGGAGCACTTTCTGGAGGTAGTTGGAAGCCAGGAGTTTGTTTTGCTTCCGGTGGAGGAGATGGAGCGGCTGCTGACATCTGATGACATCAACGTGCCTGATGAAGAAACCGTCGTGACCTCTTTGCTCAGTTGGGTCAGTCACGATCCATCCGCTCGGCAACGCCACCTGCCCTCGCTGCTGGTTCACGTCCGACTGCCGCTGCTGCAACCACAGGTCAGAGCTGCGGGAAACTCACAAACTTTATCAGTGAATGATAGGGACGGGATAAAAATTTTAGATGTGAAAGACTAAAATGTGTCATTCTATCTGTTGTTCTGTGATTTGTGTGGTGACCCATCAGTTCCTTTCCTCTGCCAAGTCACAGGATTGAAATGTTTGCTTAACGCCCCCACAAGAGAAGTGGTGACCAACCAATCATAACAAACTACGGTCCGTGTTGAGAAATCCTCATTCAGGCTGGAGCAGAAAACTGAAACTGAAAAGAAGTCTGAAATGAACTCTACGTTTTATGGAGCAAAAAGTCTTTTCAGCTACTCAAAAAACATTAAAACTTTCTGGGTTTTGATATTCTGTCAGGGTTTTTTAGATTTTATTACAATTTGAATGTTACTGCCCTTAAAAATATGACACTTCAGAGGTAGCAATAGTTTACATCCAACTTTACGTTTTATTTCATCCTTTTCTACAACATATTTACCATTCAATATAGTGCTTTAGGTTCACTACACACTATGTACCGAACAATACAGATCTTTTAATTTATTTTATCAACTTGTCTTCTGAAGATGCTCTGTGTTGAAGGATCAGTGGATCTGTGTTCGACTACTCCACCTAGGTTGCATTTTTGAGTGCAGATCCACTGAGAAACTTGCTTTTTCTGCAACATTTAAGTTAAAACTGTACTTTTGAGGTAAAACAAATGTTCATAAGTAATTTTAATAAACTACAAGTTAAAAAGGGCATGGAAATTTCTCTTTTTTGTACTGAAAAAATATTGAACCATGAGGCTAAAGTATTGAACCGAACTGAATCGTGAATTTTCTGTATCGTTGCACCCCTAATATTTAGTATTTTACTTCAAGTGGTAAATTAAAATTAAATCTAAATGACTAATAATTGAATTGCATTTGTTTGTAATAAGTTGACAATTTTTTTTACCCATTTTAAAAAAAGCTTTGAGTTTTGTTGGATTTTTTGTTCTATATTTCTGTTTTTTGCTCACATTCATTAAAAGCTGTGTGCTTGTGTAGCCAAATCTGCTACTGAAAAGGTAGAATTGTCAAAGTTTTTTTCCATTGCGCCTGCTATAAATCTCCCTGTTCCTCGCTTGTTAAGTATACCGTAGCTAGATGGATGACTTTGCCCCGGTCAGCTAAAACCACAAGTAGAAGTAACATGTAATCAAGAGGGGAAGATGGATGGCAAGGAGGTAAAGCAGCAGAACGGCCCTGGAGAAGAGAAACTCAAAACTAGAGAGACGCAGAGCTTCGGGCTGATTCTGCCTTCAACACAAAATAATGTGCAACAGTGCCCCTCCCACCTCACTCCCCTCTGTCAAACTGATAAATGAATTAACATTCAGCAACCTCATGAGCTGTGAAATGCCAATAAAGTGAAATATAAACCTCACACACGCTGCAGATCAATACTCATCAACCAATTAGTCGGCTTTTTATCTGGCCTACCGTATGATTACTCATCTAGATTGTGTCAATTCACCAGATTAATACCTTTAATCCCTGCTCCTCATCACCAGTGTCACATAAACGGAGACGCAGACGTAATCTAATCTTCTCAGAAGACCATCTGCACTGAGCGGTTGCATGAACAGTTTGTGGGACATTTGTGGCGGGCTGCATCTAGCTGTGGCGTCAGGAGGATGAGTCAGACAAAAGAGTCAAATATAAAACACAGAAAAGTACAGAAAACAAGTGCAGAATTGTTCTACGAAATGTTTATTCCCAAGTGCTGAGAAAAGGTTTGTGTTTGAGTTTGTTGGTGTGATTGTTGAAGTGGGAATTTGGTATTTTTCATGAGGAACAAGATCGAACTGATGAAATGTCTCTGAGCGTCATTGATTAATTGTAGGGGATTAAACAGAAAGCCGATACCTGCTAACCTTCTTATAATGAAATACAAATATACTCATTAGGGATTGCTTGATGTGTGACAGGAATTTTTAATGGTTTTACAAAGAATAAATTTTTAATGATTTATTTAAATGTTTCTTGTGTCAGAAAGTTATCTTAAAAATCTGATGAAAATTACAATTAAATAAGAATAAAATGAAACGGATTAAAAAAAACAGAAAGTATAAACCTTAGGCAACCTTGAATTATGAAAAAAAGTTGCATGCTGTCAAGCATATAAGTCAGAATCAAATCAGCTTTGTGGAAATCAGAACTGGACCTAAAAGGCTGCAATCAATTGTCTAATAGTTGCTGCTGCCTGCTGCTCGTTTGCAAGTATAATTCTGTTTGTACAATTCTTACAGTTTTTGTTTTGGTTGTGTTGGCTTGTTAAAAAACAACCTTGACCAGCTGACCCATTTTAATTACTCAAATTATGCTAATTTTTTTTATAAATAATTACACGTCTCGTTTCTGTTTTTCGAATGATGTGATTTATTGTTTCAGCTTGTGTGGTGTTTTGTTTGGAACACGTCTGGCAATAAAAACCTGAGAGGCCTAAAGTATGAAAAATGTACATAGCTGGGGGATGTGTGTGTTTCCACGTGTGTTGGAGTTTGTGTGTTGTGAGCGGATGGCTGTCTCCTCCACGTGAGCTCAGAAAGAGAATAACAGAGCTTTCGTTCTGCACACTGCGAGGTAAGGAGACGACAGGGAGGAGGAGGAGGAGGAGGAGGAGGGACATTTGTGGGATTCGGTCTTATCTCGTCCTCCACATTCAATCCCTCACAGCGTGATGGAAAAATTACCAGAGAGGAGGACAAACATGTTTCTCTGTATCTGTCCTCCTTTGGCAGCTGCGCTCACTCAAATAAATGAGGGAATTGGGTTCACTTTAATTTGTCTGTCTGTGATTGTTGCCAGTAGAAGTACGATTTGACCCCGGCGTGTAAGCTGCTTATCCATTTACCATGCTTGTTTTGTGCTCTATACACTCCTGGCTGTGAAATTAAATTTAATACTCAGTGACCAAGTGTAGTGATTTGGGCCAGAGCTTCTCATTTACCCGGGTAGAATTATGCAGAAAAGCACATTGTGGTGGAAGGAAAAGGGTAAATGGTTACGACTCTTTATTGTGTATTTTCTTAATTGTTTTTGAGAAATCTCCTAACATAGCTTGACCCAGCAACCAAGCAGTTACATATACAGACAAAAATGAAAATGTGAAAAATGCTTAAAATTCAAAGAACTCTTTTACTGCCTGCCATCTCCTGGCACACGTAAACATTCAGCTATCTAAATGTAAATCATGTATTTCCTGCCTTCAGGGAGGACTTGTCTCTCACAAGCAGCCGTTTCCTCTGGATGTGTTTTTTAGGGAACAGTCTGGTGGATTGAAGAAGCCTGCGCTTTAGCGTTTGGATGATTGTGCTGCTTTATATCTGTAATGAAAGCATTGACTTCAGGGCTGATGAGTTGTTGAGGACAGATTAGTGCTTTAGTGTGTCAGATGATCTGTATGTCTGGATCAATGAGGGAGCAGCCTGCTTTAGACTGTCAGTGATAACGTCATGATCTACTCATATGTTTCGGCACACTGGTGATCACCTGATCCTGCATGTTGACTTTGTTTTCCATGTGTTTAGTTTTTGGCAGACCTGGAGTCCAACCCTCTCCTCTGTGACAGTGTGGAGTGTCAGCGGCTCCTGATGGAGGGGATGAAGTATCACCTCCTGCCCCAACGCCGGCCCCTGCTTCAGAGTCCACGCACCCGGCCCCGCAAGGCCACTGTAGGGGCCATGTTTGCTGTCGGGGGGATGGACGCTTCAAAAGGTAGAACAGTTTCTCCTCTCCTCCCAAATATCACAACCTCTAAAGGAAACTGTAGACCGAACCATCCATCAACTGAAACAAAAATGTCTTTTAGGCTGGGAGAAAATTAAAAAAAAGGATTTTTTGTCCTATTATGGAACAAATTGTGCTCTTACTGGCAAATGATCATAACCAATGTGTACATGTGTTGCAAAAACAGATATTTTGCATCTGAATGCTTACAAGTAAACAGATTTTCATTCATCTGTTTGTCTTTAGGTGCCACGAGTATCGAGCAGTACTGTCTGCGTCGGGACACGTGGAGGCAGGTGGCCACCATGAGCGGACGGCGACTACAGTTTGGTGTGGCTGTCCTGGACGGACGTCTTTATGTGGTCGGAGGCAGAGACGGACTCAAGACCCTGAACACTGTGGAGTGTTACAATCCTCACAGCAAAACCTGGAGTGTCATGCCGCCCATGTCCACACACAGGCACGGCTTAGGTTAGCACCTGTTTTGTGTGGATTTGGGTAATAAACTCACATTACAAGCTAATAGGAGCTTTGGTTTCGGTTGGAACTGTTTTACAAGGCGTACTGGTTTATGTGTTTAGAATGTGTCTCTGTGTGTGTTAGTGAATGTGTGTGTGTGAGGTGGGGGATGCAGACCACACATCTGGCTGCACAGATGTTCAGGCAGATAAATCTAGGCTGTATGAGAGTGTCAGCATGCTGCTAACTCTGCATGCCTAATGCCCCAGATCTGGTTAGAAGCACACAATACAAAGCCACAGAACTTGTTGTGAAGGTGTGTTGTGTGACTGAAGAGCTTGTCTGAGGTGATTGTTCTGAAGAGTGGTCCTGATTTAATCCTGAACAGATTGCTGTCGTTGCAGGTGTGGCTGTACTAGAGGGGCCCATGTATGCAGTGGGGGGGCATGACGGCTGGAGCTACCTCAGCACAGTGGAAAGGTTGGAGGATACTTCTCACTGTTTATTCACCTGAATGGCTTATAAATAAACTTTTGTGTTCTTTTTCTGTAGTTTTTGTTTGATCAGACGTATTTGAAATTGCTCTGTTTTATTTTTTATTCTTTGTAAAACCAAAATCGTTTATTTATGATGTCTTGATGCTGAAAGATTCTTTGATTTTTAAAATCCATACCTCTGCCTCGGTACTTTTCCCACACTGTCTTCAAGGTGGGACCCCCAAGCTCGCCAGTGGAGCTTTGTTGCCAGCATGGCTACACCTAGAAGTACGGTGGGAGTAGCTGTTCTCAGTGGGAAGTAAGTGATGTTTGAGGTGATTTGTTTAATGTTTTTGAAGGTGTGCATGCAAAGTTCAGTGTGGGGTGTTTCGCTCAGGTTTGCTCCTTCTGTTTTTTTTTTAAACTCTCTGTGACAGCAGTCAGACACGATTGGTGGAAATGTAAAGACATCTGCTGCTCTGTTCAACCTGAAAGACAAAGCACAAAAATCTCTGGCTTTCTGACAATTATCAATATCTATTACTGCTCTTATTAGCTAATATTTTAATAATGCTATGCACAATTTAATACAATATTGTTCAGTCTGTTAGTGTTTTGAATGATATGTTGTGATTAAGGCAGATTAAATGAATTTCAGATTTACAATGATTAAGATTGAGCATTTTCAAATTTACTTCACCGATGGAAAAAGAAAAAAGAACTTGCAAAATGATAAATTATTATTAAAAGCAAAAGAATGACTTTGCCAGGTGTAGGGAAGATTTGACTAGACTGATCATAAATAAAAAATAATAATTACATAGCAAAATATATCAAATTTAATACATTCTTCTGATGTAATTTTACTGTCAGTGCTCAGAAAATCAGACATTCAGGGAGATGGTTGTTGAGTATTTTGAACAGATTTGTATGGTGAACTGCTGGAATAATAATTTCACATTCAAAAATAAAATGTGTTGTAAATTACTCTCAGCTAATACCACACCAAATTGTAGATCATTGTCAACTTTACAAACACTTTTATGTTTACTAAGGTTGATTATCAATGTGTTTGATCAGTTTGACTCATCAGTTGTGGATGTACATCTAATGATTACTTTGAGATTTTAATTAAATTTGTCTTCTGGTTCTTGAGATATTTACAGATAAACACACATGGACACAAAGGTAATTACAAAATCACCCACCTTTCGTGGTCGCAGACAATGGGCTGCTGTCCTGTTGACAAATGAAACCCACAAAGAGCTCATTGGGAATGACGAGCATCAATTTTTATATTGGTAAAGAAATAAAAACCCATTAAAAAACAGGCAGTAAATGATTATGTTGTGCGTCTTTGCTCCAATTCAGGTCCTGGAGGCGGAAAAAAATATCTGAAGAGTAATGATATCAAGAGAAAATTAAACATGAGAAAAACACTCTGGTTTACAAGGTGGAAAAAAAAAGAGCAAAATCTGCCAAAATTTTTGCAAAAGAAAAAAAATTATGCAAATTTAAAAGATCTTGGGCGCATTAGTTGGAAAAGGTGTCAAACTATCAGCAAACAAGCAAGAATGTTTTAGTTGGAAAACATTTCGCAGCTCTCTGTTTATGAGTGGGAGTTAAATATGTATATATGGGTCATAACTGATGTTATTCATAACTTCAAGTTCTAAAAAGGAAGTTCATGTGCGTCTATTTCTGAAGGGAAATACAAACTACTTTGCTTACAGCTCAGACTTTAATTTTGAATTGCACGGTATAGGAAGTGCAGCACCTCATCTGTTTCTTGCTGTAGCACTTAGCCATTAGCCACAAAAGCCACCCCATTAATAAGAAACATCCACATATAAATTTGAAGCTAATTTGCCTCCAGCTCCACTCGCTCTGCTTGTTTGGAGGATTTAAATGACAGAAACTGCTGTACAAATCCGCTCCTCTTAAACAAAACCCATTCTCACGCTCAGCAGCGTGAGTAAAGGTAAATAAACAGTGTTCACAATAAAACACACAAACGTGACGGAGACTTGGTCATATCAGTGTTTCATCTCCTCACTTGTCCTCCAATAACTCAGTGCAGAGTTTTCTACTTAATAACCTCTGTTGTTTTCATTATTCAGTGCCTCAGAGAGACGCTACAGTGAAAGGCTTTATAGATGCTAATTAAAACCGAAACAACTGATTTGTGCCGACCTTGCCCAGGAGGAGCCTGTGTGGGCGTCGGTGTCTGTGTGGCACCCAGCGTATGTGTTGTTTATTCTCTAGGCTCCTTGCCTGATGGAGCTCATTACTTGCTTGGCCGGTTCTTTTGCACTTTTTTTCTTGAACTTTCCAACTTCACAGCCACGGAGGAGAAAAAAGGAGCGCAGTGTTTTGTATGTCCACACGCTGTCTTCTGTCTCCCTCAGGCTGTATGCCGTCGGAGGTCGTGACGGCTCCTCCTGCCTGCGCTCGGTGGAGTGCTTCGACCCCCACACCAACAGGTCAGAGACGGTCGCAGGG